CCCCCCCAAAAAAAAGTTATTAAAAAAAGAAATTTTCGAAAACGACGCAGAGCGCCCTACTCGTTTGGAAAAACGTTGCGTAGGACGCACTTGGAAAAGAGGACCGGAGGTTTAATAAAAAATGCTTAAAAATAAATCTTTACAAGAGGGCTAATAGAAAATTTTTGGTTTTCGCTATATCAATTTTCTGAGGGGTGGACAAACGAAAATTTTGGTTGGACAAACGTGGACAAATCGTGGACAAACGAATGCAATTTGATTTTTGTAAAAATTCGCAGTTGGGGGTGCCAACTTCACGGAGCTATATTTTGTTCTAGCTTCTTTTTACACATCTTCACCGATCCGAAGATGTAGAATACGCCAAACATTTCTTTACACTCTGTAGAGATAACCCGGCCGAAAAACTGTATTTTAGAAACTGTTCACGCTGTGAATGGATCCTTTAAGTCGTAGTCGTTTAACACGTGAGCACAAATAAGACTACGAATTCCTTTCCAAATATGTTTTGCCCACCGCTATCTCTGGCTGGGAAAATCAAACAACCGTGAAACGACACTTTAATTAAAGTGTTTACCGGGGATCCGAGCACCGGGAACAGTACTGAAAAATTTCATGGGTTAATCCGGAAACGAGAGAAACGTGCGCGGTCTTCATTCGAATTGTAATTTGTGGATCCCCTCCATAGATTCTACAGACTGATAAATTTCCAACCTGGAAACTCTACCAAACTATCGAGTCATTCCAAGTGGTTGTTCAAAGTAGTAAAAAAAAACAAAAGAAGACCTACTGGATAAATGAATAGCGCGTTACAATTTTCGTTCCATTTATTCGTTTAATTAAAACTCGAAAATAATGGCCGCCTGTAGATGCCATTATTTTCACGAACATACGGACCATTAACGATCTGAAAAAGTCCACTGGATTAATCGTCCACTCCCGGTAGCTGCGACGAAGAAAAAGACGATAACGAATTCGACGTTTCTACAGTCGATTCGTGCGCGAAATAATTTCTACCCATCGTGCGGATACTCTGGAAACCTCCGGCCGCTCGGAACGATTGCATGCGTTAATTTTAATTACAAAGTATGCGCTATGATATGCGCATGTATTTTAATGGAAAACCGACGATGCTGCTTCCGAGCGATGTACATGCGATAGCTCTTCTCCTACGTTGCTCATCCATGCTCCATCATTTTCCACGGAAACGCGTCAAAGGGAAGGGTATTATTTTACTTACTAACAACTTTCCTTGGTTATTACATATAACGCGCACGGAATGCTGCGTTGCGAGCGTTCGACGATCAACCGTTCTCAGAACGCAGACGAGAAAGAAGCGGTTTTTAAAAAGGCAAGGAGAACCGCTGATGGTATCGGAGTTTTGTACTCCAATATAAAACGAGGGGAAAAGCGTGGGCAGGTATTGGAAAATAAATGAAAATACCGATAATTGTGCATTCATAGCAGATCGAGAGGAGCGTCGAGCTTATATTGATCTCCTGCTTTCATAAGTTCACGTTACGCCCCTAGCATACATAAGTTTTGCTTTTCTCTTTACGAATCAATATACGTGGATGTCGGACTGTAACACGAAACGTCCAGTTCGAATTGTTTATTCGCGCATGGAGTCAGTGTTTGACTTGGACGGTGTAGATCGTTGAATCAAAATCTATCGATGTGTTCAGTTTTAAAAACAGGAACAGAAAACACAAGTTGGTATTATTAATACTTTCGTTTGGTTCATCGAATTATTTATTATAGACCTTCCAAACGAAAACTTTCAGAGTTATCAATAAGAGCGCGTGTAGGGCCCGCGGTCAGCCATTGCAATGGTGGCTCGAATCGTGGCGCTCGGCCGTTGGTCAGCGCGGCCCTACGCGTGCTCTCATTGGTCACTGTTTTTCGTTAATAATTTAAAAACCATGGCTCACTTCGAATTTTACCAAAGGAAATTGTTGTTCATAAACACCCGAAAATCACCCCTTTTCTAGAACATCCTCGTATACTAACGAAGTTTGAAAACTTGGAACTCCCTGTATATGTATATATAATCGTTCGTACAAATAAAATATTTTCCATACTTTCGTTCGTATTTTAAAAACTTTTCGAAGCAATTCGCAAAGCAGATAAGCGATACCTAAATATTGAATCAGAAAGTAAATATCCAAC